CCCTACAGAACCATTTTCATTTCTTTTCTTTCTATGTTTTTAGAAAACTTCAACATAAAAATCAAAGGCAGGAATCTTTTGTTGGTGTTATCTCACATTTATAAGAGTTCTTACACTTGTGCAATTTTACATTTCATTTGGAGGCATGCAGAGTGTTCACATATTGAAGAATTTCATGTGCCTCAATAACAAGATGTCAGATCAGGCTGGCTGCTTCCCCTTTCTGACAGTTATAATCAGGGTAACATGAGTCGGACTGAAAGAAGCATTTGAATCCATGCATTTTGTGGAAAGGATTCCTCCTGTAGCATAGGTCACAGTTGGCTGTAGCCAAGTTTTATTGAGAAGTTTATAGCATAGGTAAAGAAAATGGCGTCCCCTTGCATAATGCCAGTTGTTGAAATTCTGGTCCAGCATCTTTCTGGATGACTTTATGTAGCTCACTAACTGGGAGCAGAAGGCGGCAGGGGGGAGGTTTAAATTCTCCGAGGGGAACAAGTCTGGAATGAAAACCGTTCTAAAAACTTGGTATTCTTGAAACAGTTCTTTATGGCTACAAAACAAGGCAACAGTGCTTCATAAGCAAAAAACACATGCAGCCTAGAGATGAAATGGAAAAAATGACTAATGAGACCATTCACACACAAGTGTTTAAAAACGCAACTAAAACTCTTATTGGGTTCCAAAGAGTGGATGTTATTTATAATAATGCTTGAAATGCACACCAGTCCCTGGGAATTTAAACAACATGCCCATCAAAGGGGAGACTCAGGTTTCCAAACCGCCAGGATTACACTGCATTGATGTGAGCTCTGTGAATCACATTTGTCTAATGCAAAATTCCCGGAACCTGTGTCTTTTTTGTCATGTTTTTTCATCAATTATCATTTGCTTTTCCTGTTTCCATGTTATGCCAGAGAAAAACCATTATACTGAAGCCACAAGTGTTTTGCATTTGCTTCTTACACGAAGGGATGTTTTACTGTGTCCTCTGATTTCTTAACAGTATCCTGCCTGTTGAGACCTCAGCGTGTCACTCACAGTGCATTGAAGTCTTCAAATTAATGGTGGCAGAAGCTTCAAATACACCATTGGTTTCTTTAAAAACAGAACTAACATCACTGAAAGGTGGTGGTGGCTTGTTAGGCCAAGCACAGCTGGGAGAACGTCAGATTTCTGTGGAATCTGATCAGTTTTGATTGCCAAATAATGAATAATTGAGACGAATCTGATTTTCAGGCCTTTAGCAATTATACAATAGCATATGTGAAGCAGTTGTCAATCAGATTAGGTGTCTGGCTGTTTATAAGCTCAGTCACAAGAACTGAAATGAAGAAAACGCGTAAGTGCTAATTAGGAACGTGCACACATTGTAACACTTGGGAGTTTGCTGCATCCCATTTGTCGCGTCATCTTTAGTCATGGCCTTGTGTCAGATGTGGCACTTTTAATCTAAATAACGTGACATTCCACATCTGTTTTCCATGGGAGTGACAAGAAAAGGAACAAGGTAACAGATCAGTGGGTGCTCGTGTGAGCACATCAAGCCGAGCTGCACGGGTTGAGTCAGGCTTTACTGCCCCCAGATGTTCGCCCTTCTCTCTCCCTCTTTTCCCCCACCGCAGCTCGGAGCAGCTGCCCCGGGCGCACAACCCCCTCTCCATCACGACAACCACTGCCAGCAGAAAGCAGGTCGTGATGTGGAGCACACCCACGCTCCATCACCCCTGCGAGAGACGGGGCGGGTTGTGCTGAGAGCAGCCCTGCTGCCTTTTTTTCAGGTGCAATTGCCTCCTAGATGCTCAGAAGTTGCCACCGTGTCTCTGTCTCCCTGCTTGATTTGCTTTGGCTGTAACACAAACTTTAATTCTAGTAGATTGTTTCAGCTATTACTTGCATTCAGCCTCAAAGCTGACCTAATTTCTTTAATTCTTGCTTCAGCATAAAAAACAGAGAAGGAATTGTGGGAAAAGCAAGTGGTAAGAGGGAGGGAGGGAAGGATCAGAATGAAGCAGTGATTAATATTCTGATCAGCAGAAATGGTAATGGTTTTTTGTATGGAAGTACTTAAATACAAAAGCTGGGCTTGTTGTTTGGATAACTTTTTAAAACACTCTGGACTTCTGAGAAATTACTCAACTTGACTGACCTGGAGACAAATGTGACATTGCAATAGAGACTCTTGTTGAACTTTTGCTAGTCGTTCTACGAGAATTAATCACATTTACAACCTTCCTCTAAATAACCAACTTTGAGACTAACCATGTGGCAGCAGATGAGTTTTAAACAGAAGTTGCATAAGTTGAAGTTGTTTGTTTTAGAGAAAACTGGAGTTTCATGGGGCCATATGCCCTGAGGAGGTTTAGTCTTGTATTGTTCAGCTCCATCTCAATCATATTACAAACTAGAGACCAGGGTGGTTTCCTTTCTCCTGAGATAGAGCAATCTGCTTTTGGGTACCAGTTGAGTCCAGAGTCCAGGAATTAATATTCCATAAAAACAGACCTGGTAAAAATACGTAGAAAGTTATTCTGAAATGTGTGTGTATGTACCAAATGATATATTATGAAGCTGTGGAGATTTGAGTTGCTGGTGAAAAAACTAGCATCCCCCAAGGTACTGGGAAAGTAACAAAGAAGTGCACATTTCTTTCTGAGATACCATCTTCCTTGGAAATAGCACAGCTGGAACATGCAGATTTCAGGCTTGAAGTTGGAGGTTTAGGGGAGGTAGGTTGCTTTTTTTTTAACTATAGTGACATTTTTCAAAAGCATTTTTTAACTCTCAGCTACTACTGTTGAATCCAGCTCCAGAAAAGACAAACCAAACTATAAAAACAAAAATCCCAGGGGCCTCCTCTGGATTCTGTTAATTGTCTGTGGGAGATTTGATGTCAATAGCGTGACTGGATCTGGGTTTGGTTTCCAGCTGCTTGTTCCACGCCAGCTTTCCTTGGAGCTTCTCCCCAGTGAGCAGGGCACGTCAGCATGCCAGCAAGCGAGTCTGGAGATCTGATGTCCCCGGGGCTGCGGTACCAACAAGCACTGCTACTGCAGCCCCAGGGGGATCGGACCTCCCGACGTGCTTGCGGGGGTCTCCACGTTAGATACGGAGCAGTTCCTCGGTAATAACCCGCAAGCAAGCAGGCAGGAGTCACCCTGGAGACTGGCCCTTAGAGCCTCTCCTGCCTGCCGCAACACCAGGGTCTTTAGCCTGGAGAGAAGGAGATTAGAGGGTTTGTTTGAATATCGTCTGAATACACTTCTATAGCATTGAGGCTATTTCTACACTTCAATTCAGTATGTTGGTTTGCCCTTATAGCAGGCATCTCTGATTTACCCAGCTAAACCCCATTCCCTCGCAGCTGTCTTTGCATCACTGTTGCCTTGAACAGATTCATATGAGCCTCACGGAGGGGACAATGAAGCCATTTGCTTCTAGGGAAACAGTGCTGATTCAATAAGACAGAAAAAATTCACCTGTACACAGAATTAGTAACACTAATATCAGGCACACAGAGAATACCTTAAAAATAATAAGCAACCATAACTCTGTAGAAGCTTTGCAGCACCTCTCAGGCACATAAGTATTATGACTGCATTGTGCAAAAAGGCCCAGAAGCATTTTGAGCTTATTTTGGGTTAATTGTTTTTGCAGTTCCTGTTCCTAGAGTGAAAGTTTGGGCTAGTTTCCCATCCTAAATTCCATTCCTCTGTGTGCTTGCTTGTGCCCTCCCTCTTTCTCTGTGCTCTGGTGCAGTAGGATTTTACTTCTCAAAATGGTTGCACATCCCTTTCTTTAAGCTGCCTGACATTTGTCACGCTTGTTGCATGCAGGTGCACTCAGTTACATCGTTTATCCCCCACTTTGACCAGCCAAGGCTTGAGCACATCCCTTGTTACAGGGCTAATTGCACCTTTTTCAGAGTTCCCGGCCGGCAGCAGCAGCTCTGGTTGTCTGTCCCTCTCCCGTGGCAGGCAGGTTGCTGCTCTGCAGTGGTGTACACAGGTGTGTTCGAGAGCTGATCAGCACTTGCTGTGGTGGATCGCTGCTTCCTGCCAAATTTGGGGCAAATAGGAAGATTTTTCAGAATTAACAACAAATTTTCTAGAGAAGTATTAAGTAGCTGGCAGTAAATTTTTATGAACTTTATTGACCTGAACTGATGCTACTGTTTTATGTCATTGCAACCACGTTAGTGGGAAATGCAAACTGTGCTTAAACGGGACCCGTGTTTCGTGAATCTTCTGAGCCTGAATACAGGGTTTTATTGCGCCGGGGCGGTGGGATTCATGCTGTACCTCTTCCTGCAGGCCAGCGAGAAGCAGGTTCACTTCGTTGTGTCGCGGCAGACCAGGCAGCAGACCCCCGACATCTTGCAGGAGACGGGTTGGAGTTACAGCGGCGGCAGCCCCCAACCCTGTCCCGCTGAGAGAAACAACGCCGGCAAGGTGAGGGCACGAGCGCTCGCGTGGTTTCTCTTCCATCTGTGGGACAGGGGACTGGGAGGGCAGCTAGCATTTTACTGTCTCAGAGTGTTATCTCTGGTTTCTGTCACCAGAAGAATCATGTCTTATTTTGCAATGGAAATGCTGTGCTCCTCATTATTTATACACTGCTTCTGCCCTGTCTCCATCTGGGGCAGGGAGGGAAGGAGAAGGCAAAGGGCAGTGGTGGGGCAGGGGGCTGACGTGCTCACCGCATCCTGGCCATGGGCACAGACCTGGCCGGCGGTGTAAGCCAGCACAGGGCAAGGCGCTCCAATGAAAATAAGAGGCTTATCTGAAGTTTCTCCATCTGGAGCAAAGTTTTCAGGCAAAAAGCTTTCATACGCTGGCCTGAGAGATTCCCATAAGAATCTTGAAAATTACGGTAATTATTAGTCTGTTCCTTGTTTCCTAAGATACCTGCGCTCTGAGCTGTCTGGCAGTTTGGCGGCAGACGGCAGCTGTGGTCCCCTTGGTCACTGTGGGCATGCTGTCTTTCTGTGGAGCTTTGGACCCAAAACATGTTGGTTCTGCTCTGGCAGCACCTGGCACTCGCATGGGATGGGGGCTGCGAGGGCCGGCAGCGCGCAGCATGGCCGGACCCGACCCAGGGCCACGCGGCACAGAGCAACCATTCGCCCAGATATGGCTCTGGTTACCAAACTGTGCCTCCAGTCGCTCCTCTGTGCCCAGTTATGTTGTGTGTTTGGTGCCTTTAAACTTGCAATATGCTCTCTGCATAAGGCAGAAAGGCTCTGATGGTCAAATATATGAGGTTTTAAAGCAGAAAACAATGCAGCAACAACTCTGAAAATACCTTTTCTGAGTTTACCCAACGTTATTTTTTGCACTATAGACAGAACAAGGTATGTCCTTGCAGGAGCTGCATTTGTTTATTTCACTAAATTTAAAGTCATCTGCCTGGCTAACTTATGTTAATTGCTCTGAGTGTCACCACTTACGCAAACCCTTGCCAGCTGGTCCCCTGGCCACCTGTGCCAGCGGTGCATCAGGGAGGTGGACAGGCAGGGCTGGTTTAAATCCACCCTGCCTGATGGGCAGCCAGATGTATCCTTAAAGGGACCTTTGGACTGAACCAGCTGTCAGATCGGGTGCGCAGCTGTCAGCCAGGAGACAAGCCTAGCTCTGCATTTTACAAATGCTTAAAGATACCCATTTTTTGCAGTTCTTTTTTTTTTTTTTTTTTTAAACTACATTATTCAGTGTTTTTATGTGTAAAAAATATGCTAGCATCTGTTTTTAGTTTTCCTTGTCCACGAAGTGACAATCACAGCCCTTGTTAGGTGAGACTGGATCAGCAGGAGTTAAACCAAAGAGCAGAGCCAGTGCTCGGTAGCTACTACCCAGTAGCAAATAGTGCCCAACTAATCATGCATCTGCAAGGCATTACTTCCTAATGAAGTAATGGTTTCCTTAGGGAGATATGTGTAGGACAGTAATTAGCTTGTGTTGCTACTGTATGATTTCTAGTGAAGCTCCGAGCACCTGCTAGCTCTGCCACGTTGGTCTGATTAATTGATACCACATGGGATTATTTGGGAACACGACTTGTCTTCCATAAAGTGCCCTAGATCCTCATTTTCTCTTCCTGTACGGAGAGGTGTTAGATGGGAATTCTTGGTAAATCCAACATTATTTTGGGTAGCTGTGAGATTGAAGGGCCAATGTTGACCTTGCAACAGTCCTTTAAAGGTGAATGAATCATCTTTTGTTGGATAGGTCATGGCTTTTAGAGGGATTTCCAGTTAGCCACAAGAGGTGGGCGCTACATAAGCGCGTGAGTGGGTGTGCTGCTGTGGGGTTCTGTCCAGTGCCACCATTTGGGCACTTTCCAGAGAAGATCACAGTCAAAAAAAGAAAATTCTGAGCTGTTCTTAGCTCCCTTTAGCTTTCTGTGGGTACAGTGGAGGGCTTATATTAGAGAAAACGCTCTGGCAATAGATGAGGAGATCAGTGGACACGATGAGCTTCAGGCACTGCAGCCTTTTCGTCTGATACAGTCATTACTGGAGTGTTATTTGCCCTTTTATAGGGTATGAGTGTGTCGGTTTGAATTTCTCATGCTTTTTTTCTGAAGGTTTAAGCAAACAATTCAAGATCTTTAAACTCTAGACTTTGGCAGACTTAAAATGTTGTTTGTTTTTAAATAGACATTAGTGCAGAAGTAATGCTTGCAAGCCTAGGGCCTGTACAGTGTCCTGACGCAGCACACGCTGCTGCTCAAAACCAAGGCAATGCTTGTTGTCCGGACTTTGCTGTCAAGGGAGTTTCCTGTGTGTGCGTGGTTTGATGAGTCTGCTATCTGCTGCCATCAGTGGGATTGCTTTATTATGTGTGATTGATAGAGAGATTGCTAACTGACTTGAATTCTGATTAATTTTAAGGTGGTTTTTCTCCCCTGAGCTTACTGTAGGAGGTGATATTAGCAGGTCAGGAATGCTCCCTTTGAGGGAAGCAGCTCTTGCTGTAGAGCATGTATGTAAACGTGGGCTGAAATCTGTTTTCAAGCCTTGGCTGTATTCAGCACCAAGAATAAACTCTAGCTTCCAGCGGCCGTCTTGCTCGTATGATGGCTCAGGAACCACTTTTGGCCAAGCCGTTGCCCTCATAACAGCCTGCCTCCATCTGTAAAGCACGAGGAGGCGGCTCTCTCTCAGGCCAATGCCAATGGCAATCAGCCACGCAGCCAACAAGGCGCTGGACAAAGAGGCGGACGGTCTGTAGTGACCACGTCCTTCTCTGGCGGCGGTGACGCTGGGCGTATGGTGTGCGGGGAGACTGGTCCTGCACAGGCTCTCACCGAGCTGTTTTCCCGTGTATGGAGACAGGGGAGGCACAGCCCAAACTCTTCTGGCTGCTGCCTGGATTCAGAAAAGGGATGTCAGAAACACTTTCTTCTGCAGCCGAGGTTGTTAAGCCAGGCTGTAACACATAAACAGGCCAGATTCGATTTCTTTGAAGTCAGTGGGAGCTTTGCCGTTAATTAAATAGCAGTTGTTTTTCATTGGAACTGTTTTCTTACTCCTTTCTAACAAATTGTCTAGTACTTAAAACAAATCTGTTGCCCTGTTGCTTGAGCAGGCAATGTTTTCTGACCATAGGAGCAGGTTAGCCTTAGGTGGAGTACATTTTCCAGACAGACACAGCTACGTCTTTTGCCTGCAAGACACGTGTCATGGCTTTGATATTGTGATAATCTGCTGTAAATATTTATTTTCCAGTAAATACACATAAAAGAAAAAAAAAAATAGAAAGAGGAGGAGATGAAGTGTTATGTTTTATTTCTCCTGACCTCCGAGGTCACTTCAAAATGACAGAGAAGGACAATTGTTTAGAAGAGAATGCATTGAAATGCAGTCACTGATAAACACTGCCTTTTAACTGGTTTACTCATTATCAGTTGTACCTCCAAGAAAGCTCTACGTGTGTTTACTGAGAAAGGCTTTACTTTCCTTTCATCACTGCCTTCGTCTCAGCCAAGTCACCCCAATTCTTTTCTATCTGCAACCATGTAAAAAATGACATGTGGAAGAGTAGCTTCAAAGGAAAACTGGTCCTACGTGGCTGAGCGTACAAGTACCAGTACTTTTATGATTCTTCCTTGAAATTTAACAGGACAATTTGTTAACAACGAGTGCTTTGAAATCTGCTTCTCTCTGCGCTGATTCCTCAAAAATAGAGCATTAGCCAGTTTATCAGCTAACGTTTTTGGTGTCTGAGACGTGATGGACACTGCATAAGCAACAGGATTGCTCTGAATGCTTGGAGCTGCAAATCTAATTCCAATTTCATGTTTTGCTACAAAATTTCAGACTGCAGTTTTGTGAAGGTTAGAAGTGCCCCTATCCCACATGCTTCAGGAAGTGGCCTTTTCCTGATGGAAAGCCATTCCTTTACAAGGGAAAAAGGACAATGTTTTTACAGAAACATGGATGAAACATTAAGTTTAATTTGCACAAAGATAGAACTACTATGTTTAAAACATTTACACCTTAAAGACAAAGGTGAAAGGTTAAAATTATCTGGACTAGAACACTTATATTTTTTTAAAAGGGAATGTTGTAAAACCCTCAGAAATTTTTAGGTTCATTTGAGAGCCATAAGCCCAATTACTTTGACACAGTGCCTGTGTTCTGCATGGATCAGATGTGGTATGTCCAAACAACTATATCAGTTTGGGTTTTGTCCCGGTGAGTAAGAGAAGACCTTTTCCACTGAGGTCTTTGCCTTTTTGTTCCTGGAGCTCTGTGGCAGCCACTGCTCTGCTCAAGCATCCAGAGATCCTTTGCTGAGCTGCTAAAAGGTTCCGGGTTTTGTTGTCGATGTTGCATCACAGAAATCCTGATGTGAAGTTAGTTCCACCAAACATACCTTTAAAAAAAACACAAAACAAAGATTTAGCCTGCCCTATTCCCATAAAAACTTCTTGCCCCACTGTCTTCTTTCATCCATCATCATTGCTGTGGGAGCAGCCGTGGACCCGCCTGCTCCACTTTCTGTGCTGCTGGCCCAGGAATATCCTTGTGGGATCTCAGATTTCTAGGAAGAGATTAATGTGGCTTTAAATAAGTTTTATAGATTTTTTTTTTTTTTTTGCATATTATAAATGTGAGGTCACACTTGTGAATGAGAAGGTTGGGGTTTTTTTTAATATACATTTGAAATATATTTAGCAGCATGCTGTTATATCTACATATGAGCCTGGAATGGTGCTGTTCCTGCAAGAGGGGCTGGGAACTTCAGGAGTTGATGCCAGGAGCACAGCTTATGAAATACTTCAGGAAATCAAAGCAATTAACATTTAAATCCAGATTTTCTGGAGAAGCATCCTTGTCTATTGAACTCTTCCGTAAGAGCTGGATGCGTTGTAAACATGACATTCAGTTCACAGGTTTTGTTGGAGCTTGTGTTGCCTCTCCATCCCGAGGCCGCCTGTGAGATTGTTTCACCCTCGCTCATACCCTAGTTGTTGCATGACCGGTGGTGTGTACGTAACTTTTCCTGTTCGGGGGGAGGAGTGAGGGGGTGACTGTCCTCAGACAGGGGAAGTGGCTGCCCCACAGTGACCTAGCACAAGCCCTAGGAAGAGCACCCTGGAAGCTGCTGACTCTTCACTCTGTAAATATCCTTCTCTTTTCCTGAACAGAAACACATATTCTTTGAGTGTATTCCCCCCAGTAACTTATAAAGAAACACAGAAATCTGGAACAGCAAATGAAGTGTCTATCTTCTCATCTGTCCCCAAGTTTATTCCTTTAACCCAGGTGGACCATTTCTCATTAACTAAACAGATGACGTTCAGACTGCAAGCAGCAAGATAAGAACCATGACCTGATAGTCAAAGACATGAGGACCCCTAGTGATATTAATATCAAGAATATATATTTTTTTTAAATCAGATTCCTTATTTACGTTTCAAAGACCTGCTTCTATTAGTCTCAACACTAAAACACTTTTAACTTAGTTAAAGTCAACAGTGTCTGACTTTAACTGTTAAAGCATGGATTATCTTGGCAGTAGCTCTGACTCCGCAGATGCCTAAGCCCTGGAGAGAGTCGTGCCTGCCATCTGGCCAGGCATGGCAGGCGGCTCTGAAGTGCTTTGGTATTCCCTCAACGAATATTCATTTCAGTAGAAAATGCCAAAGATGTCAGGGAGGTCCCCATGCTCACTGTGTTTGTTGTTGCTGTTTTCTCCATCACAGAGCGCCCTTCACACCGTCACCTGTCACGAGAAGGTGGTGTCTGTCTGGAAAGATCACACAGAATCCCTGGGAATGACTGTAGCAGGCGGAGCATCTCACCGGGAATGGGATTTGCCTATCTATGTGATAAGTGTCGAACCTGGAGGAGTTATCAGCAGAGACAGCAGGATAAAAACAGGTAAAAAGAGGGGATTTTGAAAGCCTGCTTTAATTCAAAGGCTTCCTTTGAAAAACAGAGGGATAGTGAAAGAGCATCACACCCTGACATCTTCAGTCATCCCATAGATTTTGGGATGTGTGAGATTAGAGGGTCTCAAGTCAGCTACCAGAAAAGGTATAATATGCAGCAGTAACCATCTCTGTGAAATGGGATGTAGGCATGTTCTAGTAGGAAAAAAAATAAATTGTTTTTCACAGGAAAACGAGCTTGCACCACCATCTCCTAACTACTGAAATCTTCATTGTGCAACCTTCATGGGTTTTTAATGTAAATTTTTGTGCTTGTTTGTCATATCATTCATGGCTTTGAAAGAAATATAAAGCAGCAGGATTCCTATCATATATGAGGCAACATTAGTGCCTTTACACTGAATATCACGTCTGGACACATTGACTTCATAACTCCCATTTGGCTCTTGATGTAACAGAGTGATAAAATTAATAGCTTCTCCCGCTCTGCATGAATAAGCCTTTAGAGTAAGATGAGGAGCGTATTTTATCAGTGCCTTTTGTGGGAATAGGTAGGCAGTAGAGTAATGGTGAAACTCTGAGTTTTCAGGACGTTACATCTCCCAAGAGCCAAGGACCTTGCTGCTTCCAGCAGCCACACAGCTCTCTGTCCCCTTGCCCTTCATGCCCTATGCTCAGCTTCAGCCCAGTTGCTGCCCAGAAGCTGGAGGGAAATCCTGAGTGCGAGGGAAGTAAAGGCACCCAGAAGTGGGCCAGAACAGCTCAGCCCAGCCGAGCCCCACGAGCCTGGGTCACAGCACCCGGCACCGGCACGCGTGGGAACCTCCCCTTTGCAGGAGCTATGGCTGCTCATCAAAACCCATGTAAGAACATGACAACAGGAGCAAACCAGCAGATTTCCCCTTTCCTACTGCTAGGAAATGACTGTCTCTCAGTGGGATACGTTTTCCAAAAAATATTCATCATGAGGCAGCGTGGAAAATTCAGCCTAGTTAATTTGATAAAATTAGAAACAAATGAATACGTGATGTTATAACAGTGCCATAAGCCTCCACGGTTTAGAGCAGCCCTGAGGCTGTTGTCTGTCTCATCGGGGCAGACCACAAGAAGAGGTTAATGTCCACGTCGCGCTGCCTGGGCTGCCGGTGAATACAGCCCCTGCCTGGAGGAGCCCGCAGGCGAAGTGCAGAGGGCACCCAGGGAAGCCCTGGCGTTGGAGCGTGCCGCGGAGGGTAGCGGAGCACTTGGCACCGTGGCCGCTTCCATGGCATTAATGATGTCTTTATTGTTCTCCCTGTATCCAAACATCTTTGCATTTTTCTCCGAAGCTACTGTGCCTACATTGCAAATAAGGCATACAGAAATATGTTTTAGCTTGTGGCCATTCAAACAGGTATTAACATCAAAATAATAATATGTTATTCCACAAAGCAAACTTTCTGAAGAGCCAGCTGGAGCGCCAACCCTCAGCTTAGGGAGCACTGGGAGAATACCACCTTTGAGCTTTCAGGTTTCAAGCTCAGGCTGAATACAAAATTTTTTAGCTGGAAGTGGGCTTCGCAGACCTGGACTAGCATTAGGTGCCCGTAACAAAGCTTGTTGGTGCAGCAGGACCCCAGCTATGCCGTTCAGCTCCAAATGCAGGATGTGACGTGATAAGAAACCAGGACCAAAGCCTCCATCCAGCCTGGCGATGCTCCTGTGTATGGGGACCTAGCCCCTTCCCTCACGCCTGTGGCATGTTTACCAGCATATGCTTCACATCCATCTTAAATGATAGGATTAAGAAACAGCCTCATCAGGCAGCAATTTCTTGGCTATAGCTTTGACTCGCTGGTTCGTGGGGGTGGGAAGAGGATCCTGGAAACACTTGCAGGATTTTTATCATCCATTCTATATCGGTCTCAGGTGACATCCTCCTGAACGTGAATGGGATTGACCTGACAGGGGTCAGCCGGAGCGAGGCCGTCGCCCTGCTGAAAAACACCAACTCATCGGTGGTGCTCAAAGCCCTGGAGACGAGAGCATGTGAAGCCCAGGAGGAGCGGGACTGCCTGCCGCCCCCTGAGGCCACGCAGGCAACCTCCGAGAGCAGCGAGTGGTCACCTTCCTGGGTTATGTGGCTGGGGCTGCCACGGTAAGTCCACAGATTGCATCCTTTTGCTGAAGGGGAGTGGGAGGAAAGATTTGTATTTTCTGGCAATTCTTTCTTTCGGCTTGATTCATTGCACTGACATCTTAATTAAATCCAGGCTCTGTCGCAGACTTGACTCTAAATACCTCCCTTTTGTAAACGGGTATGTGTACATGGAAAAATAGACACGTAGATCCCCTTGCAAGGGAGGAAAGGATCCTGAATTGTTCCAGTCTTGAAAACATATCTGGCGCCTAGAGAGTGAAAGGAGAAGCTTGCAGGGATACAGGAGCTTGCTGAACTGGGGTCTAGGCCCAACTGCCCTGCAGAAGGCAGAGCTACCCCTCCTGCAGCTCTCAAGCTGCACAGCCCTTCTCCTTAGCCAAATCCGGCTGAACTGTTTGACTTTGCCCAGATGTTGCAAAGTGCATGTAGTTGGCCGGTATCTCCGAATCACCTCTTTTAACCTCAGCCCTGACTGAACGAAGTACATTTGTCATACGCAGGAAACAGCTGTGTTGCCATTTCAGTAAGGATAATAAAAGCCACATCGCATGTCGTTAAGTTCTCTCAAACACACTTGGTGTGCAGGGTGCATACCTGCAGCTTCGGTGACATTTTGTAAAGCATTAAATGAGGACATGTTGTGAATCTGTGAATATGAGAAGCTAGCATCACACAGTTGAAATCGGTATTCAGTTTTAAGGAATGAAGAATTTAGCTTACAAGTTACTTTTGCCCATACGCCTAACCCTGGCAGCAGTCCAGAGTTTTCCCTTTTACGGGAGGGCATCAAAAGATGGTCAGCAGAACAGGTGGGCTTTTGCTCTAGGCACAGTTTCAGGACTCCTCTTCGTTTCCCAGTCTCACATAGCAGGTTAGATGCTTTCCCTCCTTCTGGCTTGAGCTGTTTTGAGCTCATTCACCTTGCAGCAAGGTCTGCCATGAAGGCCAGGTGTGTTTCGGCGCTTGGTCCGAGGCTAATGACCGTGTAACGTGCTGAAGTACTGCAAGAGCAGAAGGCAGGCTGTGTGTCTGTCACCTACAGATGAAACGTTCCTCCTCCAGTGGAGAGGACTATGTCCGTATTCCTGTGAAAGAAAAGGAGTAAAAAGAAAAAGCAGTAAATGGATGGTCTGTAACTTGCTACCCCAGGCAATGGTAAACTTTTCTCACGCAGTCTCGCTGCAGACAGGCAGGCCCAGGGAGGTCCTCATTTCTGGTCACCTTTTTTTTCCTGCTCACTTCTTCTGCACCCCTGAGCTTGAACAGCTACACACCAACATGAAGGCACTGGAGCACAGGTAAAGCTCCCAGCAGAAAGAGAGCAAGCAGGTAGAGGCCTCATAGATGCTGCAATCTGCAATGCTGCATCTTGCCTTCAATCACCATCTATTAGTAGGTGGGCTGAAAAAATTGCACCCTGCATGCACCTGGCCTAACCCCACCTTTGCTGTACTGTATAGAAAACCTGAGCTGCCTGGTCGTCGTCATCTACCCACAGCTGCCTGAAGTCCCCATGTCCTCAGCAAGGTGACGGAGACGAAGGACAGAGCTCCACAGTACTGCAGATTTGCACCCATCAGTCAGTTCTGCTTTGAAGTTTGGGAAGAGAAGGTGGTTTTTTTCCCATTTTAAAAGTAGTCTCTCAACTCGCTCTATTTCCCGCCTCCGAAGGCTGTGTGTGAGGCCGTTCCCACCCCTTTGGTCTGAAGGAAAACCAGCCCCAGTGTCAGCAAGGCTGAAGACAGGAGTTCATTGTAACTCTATCCCCAGCTGCAACCCCGTGCACAGAGCACAGCGCGGCCCTTCACGGCCAAAGAAAAGTAGGGGGATTGGTATGCTGAGCTGGTACGCTGCTCTGAACATTAGACTAAGACAGGGACCAACACTGACTAGACTGGCAGTAACTAAGGTGCACTGCGTTCTTATTAGTAGCTGGTTGGTTGAGTAGGGGTGCTAGGATTAGACTTGGATTTGCTCATTAGGTATTATCAGACCCTTCAGTCTTCCCCGGCATGAGTGTGCTTACCCTCTTGTACTGATTCTCCAGGGCCCACACCAGACATCTGGAAGTCCTTCAACAAGTTCTCTCACCAGGATGTGTATCACATTAACTCATTTCCCGCCAGTCTGAGCATTTAACTTTTCCCTATCTGGCTTTCAGCTTGCTTTTGGCAAGGATCACATCCCACTGGATCGCAAGGTATTGCCAGCAGTCTCATAATGCTTTCTAGCCTGTTACAGAAAATTATTCTCTGTCCAAACATGTCTGACGGGTCCATCTTGGTAAAGGTGCCTGATGTGCAGCTAGGGGGCAAGATGGTGAAGATTCACCTGCCTTAACTAAAACTGTGATGACATTAGTAAAGCCATACCATTTACCAGCGGGACTGCTCCAAGGCATGTAAGTCTAACAATGTTTGGTGCAGCTGACGGACAAGTAGAAATGTCAAAATCACGACTATACAGGATCATGCAAGGTATTTGGGAAGATGGGCAGGATGGGAAACACCCACATAAGGAAAACTGAACAAATAGAAAAGGTGGTAACACTGGTAGGCGAGGACCGGGCACGATTAAAAAAGAGGTGGCTGGATGGTGGATTCTTTAAATTCTGTCAAGAAGGGAAAGATGTGGCTCTGGACAAGCCATGGCAGTGCAGTGTGAGTGTTCAGAGCAGGCAAGGTGGGGAGCGCAGAGGCAGCCTGACACCGCGGCTTAGAGCAGGACATGGGCTCAGGAAACCAAGAGAGGAGAGTTTCCTTCCATGGTCAAAAACCATGGAGTTTTGATGAAAATCCTGTGAAGGACAGTCCCATAAAATGTGCTGAGTTGAGCTAAACACTAGAGGATGTCTGCAGACCTCTGTCCGTGAGTTATGACGCAGAAAACAGGCAAACATTAATAATAGCTACATGATTAAGTGTGCCTTCCTCACTTTTGAGGCTGGGGTACTGAAAATGCCTACTTCTCCACACTAGTGCAGAACTTGCCCCTTTCCCGAGGGCGGCATGCACATTACAGCAATGGGCATAGACAAGAGGCACAAATATTGAGAGTTTGGGAATTGCATCATTTTTCTGGATTAGGTCAGTAGCAGCAGAAATCAGGTTATCAGACTCCTTGCTCCAAAACTCAAAGCCTTGGAAAAGCTGTCTTTCATAATTTAAGGTTTGCGGATCTCACTTAAATTTCGGCCCTTTTCTTCTGAGATCTTAAAATTGGCCTCGGTCGCTCTTACATGGCTTGATAGCACATAAACAACTCCTCTGTTCTTTCTGTAGTACAATCCAATATGTGGCGGTTATAAAATAGACGCACATGTGCATCTGACATCTGTCAAAACTTGGACCGCGTGCGAGCGGAGGGGCTGCGGGCTTCCTGCCCGAAGACTTATTTCAGGGTAGCTAATCTAATTGTTTGTTGTTGAGGAAGACGGGTCTCCTTTATTGTTGGAGGGAAACGTTGTTGTGAAGCATGCACAAAGAAACTAATGTGGAGCAGCTGGTGAAAAGCGGTTCCCCAGCCCTGTGGTGTTTCTTCTGCTCTTGCTTGTTTTCCTGGTCTCCTTTCTTTGCTCTCCTCACATTTCCTTCCCCCAGCTAGCACTTAAGAATACTTTATAGATCATCCTGTCATAACATTTACAAACATTAGTACTTCACACGTGTGCTTTTCTTCATCTGCAAAGTGAGATGAGAAAGACAGAAGGTGGCCAAAGTCATTCTGCGAAACAGGGGCAGAACTGAACATAAAACATGGAACTAGGACAGCAACTCCCCCAAATTACCTCTGTCTGGGCTGCAGGGCTCTGGTGGGAGTAATTCTCAAATATTACCGTACTCCACTGCCCGTCATCTACTGTAATGGGGCAGGGGGAGGGAGTCATGCTTTTCATACCTGTTATTGCTGAAGTCCTCCTGAAGTCAGGCTGGTTTTGATTCCCAGAGCATAAGGCTACTCAGGCTTTGCAAAAAGCAGCAGGGAATTGTATGTTTAATAACTACTTGAAAACGGGCACTTTTAAATTCCTCTTGCATCAGTAACTGATGCTCAGTTGTAGTATTTTGAGGACCCTCTGTCTAGACACTGTTTATCCTCGAGTCTTGAATCTGAGGCAAGTTCACACATAAATTACTTTTTGTCCTCAGTTTTTGGAGTATTTACAGATAGAGGCAGAAGACTGCAAGCTGCTCTCTTCCAAGGCAGAAGACTGATCTCCTCGGACCGGTTGCAGTTTAGTGGGTTACGGCAGTTTAACTGGGTCAAAACAAACAGACTGGCGCTTTCGTTACCACAAATAAGTAATCTACTCAAACACACTAAGCATCTTCAGATGACGCAAGTACTTATTTCATTTTCTCTCTGTGGCGCTTTCTAGCTTGTCTTTATTACTACACAGCCATAAACAGACCCAAATGAACTAACTCCCTTTGGGCTGCTCTTTGCCCAGGCAGAGCAAACGTACTGAACTATTCAGAGCAAGTGGTAACAGCATTCCCCGTAGCTCAGATTTGCACACGCCTGCCTCCCTGCACCCTTTTCCCGTTTCTGACAGCATTAACGCATAGCCGATGGATGGCACACTGCCACGTTTATACCCTCTACCCCATAGGATGGAGATAAGGAAACATCAGTTTAAAGGTGTAACCACCACCTAGCCACTCCTAGTCAAGAGTCAGTCTGGCTATGGCCAGCGTGATGGGTTGGACCCAGCTTGCACCAAGCACCCGCACAGCTCAACACCCCCAGCAGGACAAGAGAAAATAGGAAGAATGAGAGCGAGAAAACTCATGGGTCAAAGGCAGGGAAGTCACTCACCAATTACTCTTGTGGGCAAAACAGACTTGGCTCAGGGAATTTAGCTTAAAACGTTTAAATACAAATTCGGGTATGGGGAACCAGAGATGACAAACATGTAACTACTTTGGAAAACCCTTTCCTCCCCCTTTCGCATGCTCAGCTTCACCCCAGCGCCTCTCCTCCTGCCTTCCTGGCTTCCACCGCCCTGTTGTCACAGCAGGCTACACCCCGTCCCCTCAGTGAGCTGACAGGCAGCGCACGGGGCTGGGGTCACGACAGCGTCGTTTCTCTCTGCTGCTCCTTGCTTCCCATGCGGTTCCTCTGCTCTGGCAGGCAGAACAATCCTAATGCTAGTACGCCATATCTATTTTACTTAAATTTAGCATACGCTTTGACAGCAAATATGTACTTCTGCTTTCTGGACTGATGGAGACGGTGTAACTGATAACCTTACAGACTGTACGTACAGAATGCACGTAAGCCTTGTGTGTCTTCACTGTTTTCTTGTGGCTTTACCTGCTCAGCTATTTCTTTTCTAGTGCAATAGCATTTAGCTGATCACCTTTCAATTTCAGCAACGTCCTCCTTAAGGCAGGGAGCACAGCGCCAGGCAGCAGAGACCCCTGCCCCCCAAAACCAGGACTAGGTAATAGCACTAACGGCTGGGTCCTGGCATCGCTTGGTCATGACCTTGATAAGTACCATCAAACATAGAGGGTTTAAGTGATTTTGCACATTGAAGAAGTCCACAGATGGTAAAGTAATAATGCCGGGCTGCTGAGGACAGAACCAAATGTCACCTGTTTCTTACATTAGCAGCCAGTGAATTCTTGTGCAAATATTATATACCTACCACCCTGGCAGCAGGTGAATATTTGTCGGTCCTGAGGGACTAATCTCGTATTACTATAAAATCCTGCTGTGAAACACAGCCAAAGCATTATTTGACAAATAAAAGTTCAACAAAGCTCGACACGTTGGTCTTTAAGATACGTTCTTTATCTTTCTACAGAAGTGTGAGCTGTTTCTGAGAAACCTACAGAGTTTCTGAAGAGAGCTTGTAGCAGTTGCTTGCTGTAGACCAGCCCATCACTTTAGATTTGGAATAGCAAAAGGATTTTCAGGCTCCTTCAGTCACTCTTGGGTACACCAATAATGAGGAGCGGGCTAAGTACTAAGCACAGAAATTTCGGTTGCTCTGTCACTAATGAAATTAATCTTGTTTTTTCCTGCTTGGTTAAAAAAAAAAACAAGAAACAAAAGCAGGTATTCAGGTTATTAATGTGCTCAGAGCAATAGGCAACAGGTAGGAGTCCAATAACCTTACTACTCTTACTTTCCCCTGTTCCTTGTTTCAGCTAAGCTTGGACTCAGCATAACTTACAGTATCATAAAATAGATTTAAAGGACAGAGAAGAGGCAGATTTCAGCTCTTTTACCACAAAATACTGCGTTCATTGTTACAGTGAGGACAAACTACCTTCTTGTCAGCAGTCTCAGTACTCCAAAGCACTGACTGACACAGGCAGGCTTCTCCCATCTTCCATGCTGCCACTCACCACGTTACTTGACAAGAAAAGCTCAGGATCCCTTCTTCCACTGGTACTCTTCTTTGCGTCTGTGATTTTTGGAATTCTGGCTCGTTTCATTGGCCTTGAAGTTTTTTTAGCTTTGACATGCACCACAGTAAACAAGTGCCTGCCTGCTTTTGACACAGGTAATCACATACAGGCTCTTATCCGGAAAATAAAGTCAGTCATTGGAGCGTACAAGGTAGATGAAACAGCCTCCGGAATGACGGTTTACAAACATTCAATCCATTTTCAGCTAAGTGTTTTTCTCCATCACTTTTAATTGCAACTAGATCATTTGCATTAATTCTTACTCTATGAAACAATTTATTTAATATTTTAACCCCAAGATTACCTCGTAATTTTACTCTTAGGATAACTGGTTATGGAAAGCAGCACGACAAAAACAGAAGGGAAGTGGAGGTGTCTGATGCACTGGAACTTTGGCGCTATTTTGCATCTTCAAAACACTCTACGGGTGTATGAAAAGGCAGATTCATCATTAATGATTCATCAGAATCTAAAGTTAACCGTACGACATCTAATTCGACTGGTTTGTTTCAGGTATTTGTACACCTGCAAAGATATTGTATTACGAAGAAATACATCTGGAAGTCTTGGCTTCAGCATCGTAGGAGGCTATGAAGAACATACTGGGAACAAGCCATTCTTTATCAAATCCATTGTTGGGGGAACACCAGCATATAATGATGGCAGGATCAGGTAATGGTAACTATCTAATGAAAAGTAGCATTTAAGTCAGTCTTCCATTTAGTTCATTTGTGGTTTTCTTTTTTAAAACAAGTTTTCATGAAGACATTGGGGGTGGGGGGGGGCGGAAATAACTCACTCGCTGATACAGACCTAACTAGGACAGATCTGGAAACAGGACATAAGTGTCCTGAACTCTAACAGTTTTGCCTTCATAGTAGAATGTTTTCAGATGTCTAGCAATCACTAGTATACAAATAAGCATTAAGATAAGTCAGTTTGATCTCTGGGGTAGTACAAAGCACGCCAGTGCAAAGCAGCTTTCCCACATCCCCAGCTCAAAAAACCCCCACCTAACCACCCAAGAACCTTCCCTGCAAACACCAATCCAATTTATGAGAGTAAATGCAGAATTGTGGAGCAAACTTAAATCAATTAAGAAGTCTTAAAACAGAGTTTCTTCAGAACATGGATCATTCCCATCTGAAAGAACTATATCCTGTTTTCTTTCAAATGTCTAATTAACTACAAACTTGTAAAGAAAAAAACAAGTGAATTATTTTCACCTGCTTTATTCCCTTATTCACGAACAGTAGTTAGCCAGAGAAGGAATACTCACTTCTACCTCTTCCTCCCAGCTTAAGGACACGCTTTGGCATTGGCAAACACTTAAGATTTAAGTCACCTTGTTTAACTGCTCTCTCATATTTGCCTTTGGTTTTTCAGATGCGGTGACATCCTCCTCGCTGTCAATGGCAGGAACACATCGGGAATAATGCACGCCTGCTTGGCAAGGATGCTCAAAGAACTAAAAGGAAAAATTACTCTCACAATTGTGTCCTGGCCTGGCACTTTTTTATAAAACAAGTCTTCATGGAGAGTATGACAACTAATTTAACACAGAAAAAAAAAAAAAAAAGGGAACATCAGTCTTTGCTTTCTGGGGGGTCAAGTATGTGTTTATCAAGAAAAGGTTTGTGAAATTCCAACCTGCATGTCAAGAAAAGTCAAGTTTAGGCAAAGCAGGGACACCTGTCAGAAAATCACTTCAGAGCGATTTAAGGTACAGACTTCAGTCTTTCCTTCCCTGTGTTCTTAAGAGTTTTTTTGTTGTTTTTTTAATATACATATATTTAATGCATTATAATAACAATGAAATTTAAGGAGCAGCAGCTCCTGCTCACCCACTTTATTTTGATTTACAAAAAGAAATCCTTGAATAACTCACGGAAAAATCTCTTGCAATTTTTCTAGTTGCAAAATCAGGTGAAGGTTTTTATGCAACGCATTAATAGCACTTTGATTACGCGTACCTTTTCATGGTCAGCATGAAGCTGGTATTTTCAAGACTTTCAAGTACTGTTTGTTAGTCTGTAAAACTGTGAATTAAATTTCTAAAATAATTAAAAATAACTGTAACTGTGTGCTTGTACAGACATTATTTTCATCCAAACCCAAATGACCTAGTTTCCCTGGTATGTTTTGATTAATACTATTAAATCTAGGGTTTTTATATAGAATTCTTGTTTTTAAGGAAGTACACTGCACCCTGCTAACACCATCAAGTAAGGCTTCTACATAGCACCCTGACAGGGCAGTACAATTTTTGCAGGACTGCCATGCCAATCACACTTGATACCGTTCTGGATGGAGTAAACCTGAAAGTATGATGGTCTTACATTTTTCTTTAAATAGTTCTTTGCCTTTCTCTGCAAACTACCCGTGTTCCAAAGTCTTATTTTTTCCTCACAAGCTAGCAACGGGAAGAGGCTATGTTTGTTAATCTTTATCATGCTAAGGACAGCCATTTCCCTAGAACAAAGACTAAAATGAACTTTCTCTTAAGCCACTGAAAAGCTGCAGGGATGATTATCCAGCTTAATTCGCCCCTAGGCACCCACACAAACCAGACATAATTACCAAGCGTGTGATCACCACACTCCGTGTTCCATCAGACTACGAACAACCAGCACCTTTCCCAGTTTCCCTAATTTTTTTCATTTCACCTTAGTACAAGGCTCTCGAAGAGCCTGCAGTTCCTGCCTGTCCCTGTAGTAAAGGACGACCTTTTCAAATACGAACTCCAAAAGCTATACTAAGCCCACGCTGTTCCAGATGTTGGTATATAATAAAGTGAATGCACACTGTTTCTAAAGTCAGTAAGAGAACGACCTTCCCACTGGCTTATGAAAAAAGGAGACAATTTAATACAAAGCACTTAAGCCCTACGTATATTGTAAGAGCATAAGCCTCTAGCTGTAAGACGTTTTCTCACTGTTTCCTAAAAGACAAAGTCAGTCCAGGAATCTTAACATGAAAAATTCATTCTTTTATTTTCAAAAAAAAACCAAAGTTACCTTTGATTTCAAACTAACAGAACAAGATTAAGAGCAAATTATTTTAATACCCAGAAAAATAACAAGATTTATAGTAATCTATTTCTGGCACTAATATATATGCAAGTAGGCAAAAATCACACAAGCCTATTCCACAGGGGCAGCTTCAGTGTTTTCCTGTTCAGGAGCAGGTTCACCGCTGGCTTCTTTTCCTTCTTTGCTTCTTTTGGATTTTTTGTGTTTGTGCCTTCTGTGGCTGTCCCCTTCTTCACTGTCATGACGACGTCTGCTGTTACTGAATAAAGAGACAGAAAAAATACCTCAAACAATTGCATGACACCTCAGGCCCCATTTAATTACCGAGTACCAAAAAAAGAGCCTTTGCATTTGTATTTGAAAACTGGCACCTGCTCCTGCTCCAACCCATATAGGATTTGGATGTCAGCGCCAAACTGAATTGTTCATGGAATGGTACCCACATCCACCCATCCTGTACTTTCTGTGGGGAAACTGGAATGATTTTTCACATTGGTAACCCATATTCTAATAACAACACTTTTAATAATGCCATGTTCCTACTGGCATCCCTTAATGGTTTAACATTCTTATTGACCCCGTTCCCTGGCCTTGATCCTTTTTAAGTTAAAAATAAAGGTTAAGTTGAACAATTTCTATCACGTGACCACGAGGGTTATTTTACTTCCTAAGAATCACTGTTGAGTTCTTATGTTAATGCTGCTGAATGTCAGCTTCACTCCACCTCTTTCTGACCCAACTTTTTTACCCTTCTTTTCCCAAATTCGTAATTGCTGTTCACTAGCTAATACTGTCGCATACATCATTCAATATGAAGTTACCTGGGGCCAATATTGCTTTTTGTCTGTCCACATTTTATAAGGCAGACTCGTTCCAAGTAGTACATCTAAGTGTTTACAGTCTTTCTGGAAAACTCCAGTTTGTTTGGGGTTCTTTTAAAAGTTTACTTTATTTTTTTTAAACTGGTCAAGTCTTTCGTATCCTATTAAAAAAATCAAACCTTCGAGATGACTTGTGTCTAGTCTCTTCTTTCTCTCTGTGTCTCCTGTCTCTGTGTCGGTCTTCTTTCTCTCTACTTGTTCTATGGCGGTCATAGCCTCTTTCTGCATAGTCTCTGTATCTATATCGTTCTTCATCACTGATTAAAAAAGAAGATATTTTCAGGACAGTAACACCAAGCAGTATATATTAAAACTAGAAATTCTTACACATCTTCAAGATAAATGACAGAAAAATCTTAATGTTGTTTCTGGGTTTCTAAACAAGATCCACAACATGTGCTAGAAGGCCATTAAAGCCCTTTACCTTCCACGCTAGACTTCTGTGCCTAATGCAGTTTTGAAAGGGAATTGTTCAATAAAAATGGAAGGAAAAAAAGAATACAACAGCATCACATGAAGTTCATACAGGAGTTATCAAGCGGTTAGTTAGTTTAAACCTGTATCTAGCTGCAAACGAAGTACAGTCCCGCATAAACTTCAGTAACGTTCAGATCAGTGTGTGCAACACTCAACACTTATCAGCACACTTTTTGACTATTATACCATTCGGGTAAATTGAATTAAATTGGTACAGTTTATCTATTTACTTACATCAGCTTCAGGAAAGGAAAAGCTAGGTGCAAAGAGACCGACAGTAAAACATACTCATGTTTTGGGTTGCTTTTAGAATTAATTTCTCTCCAGTGCCAATGCTGTCTCTACTTCCACTCCTCTCTTGGATTACCACGAGTGCCGCCCTGCCACAATGCTGGTAAAAACCCCCAAATATTACAGGCTATACAAGAATTTAAAGGTTTTACTTAAGAACATATTTTCATATTTTGACTTGATGAAAAGGGCAGTTCTAGGAGTTTAAGTGATATTTTAAAAAAAGATAAGAGCAGTACCTATAGTTAGCCAACACCCCTCAAATGCTGCATCAGCATAGCTTAAAAAGGTATGCTCATTTTATCATTTCTCTACCAAGAAAATCCTACCCCGATATAGTATCCAGCGTCATTTAACAATGAGACTTCAATACGAGTGAACTTACTGTAACTATTTATATATCACATCAAGTCTTTGTAACCCTAGTTTGGAAGATCCCTACCAAGTCCTAAAGAAAGGCACAATGTGACCAGGCTTTCTGAGGCAGTAATTGAAACAGGTAACAATTTCGATGCTATGAAGCTGACAAAAGCCCAGTGTTCCATGCTTCCAGCCCTTGCCAACATTTACCATTACCAGAAAGCCTCTTCCTGAGGCCCCTGACAACAGCAGAACCGACCAGACAGATCGTGCAAGGAGAACAGCTCAAGCCCAAAGAGATTTCTCATGTCCTGGAGCAGTGAAAACTTAGATCTAAACAATTTTATTTGCCGTAACTTGGACCCTGTGGCCCTTTCCCAAGTGAAGACATTCCACTAGTGGTTATTACAGCTATGTATGAAAACTCAGAGTGAGAAGGGGGAATGCCTGAAGTAACAGCACTAGTCTTTCTATGAAAGTCTGTATGATTATATCATGAAGCAAATTTCAAGTATTAGCAATTCAAGACACGGTAGAGAAGCACCAAACACCCCGCAGAAGATACAGTTTTTCTAAGGGACATTAAAAGTACTCACACATCAAAATCAGGAAAACTACAGCTATTACTAAAGAACTCAAAGTTATGATTTGTCACCGAGTAATATGACTGCATTCATCAGTGCCTGTATTGTTATAAAATCTTATAACATTTGTAACATTTTATAATGCACTTATAACTACAGAGCTGAGAATAAGCTGATCAAATCCTGCAAAGTACATTTGTGACAGATGACAGCATCACAGAAGCGCTGAGGTTGGAAGGCATGACTGGAGGTCATCTGGTCCAAACCCCTGCTCAAGCAGGGCCACCGGGACCACCAGTTGCCCAGGACCATGTCCAGATGGCTTCTGGATATCTCCAAGGATGGAGACTCCACAACCTCTCTGGCCAACCTGTGCCAGTGCTCAGTCACCCTCACAAGCATCATGCCACTACCAATTCTCTTAACTACTGCCCCCCTCTTAAGACACAAACGAAATTCAACGCCATTAAACACTTTTTTTAAAGACTATGTTAAATCTAACATGTCTTTCCCACAAGACGACCCTACAACACAGACACATCAGCTTATGAAGGCAGTACAGCCACAGAACATGAATTCTGATCATACTACTCCACGGCCAGCTTAAGGCACCCTAGGTTATAGTCCAGGGTGTGAAAATAAATTCACTTGCTCCACTGAGATGTATAAAACCCAGACAGGTAAACTAAAGCAGTTCAGGGTGGGGGGAAGGGAGAAAAATAAAGGCCAAACCTCACAATGCTGAAATCTGAAGTCCTATGCCTTTAACCTGTTTCTATCTGTATCCATCTTTTACCATTGTTTTACCCTCAAGTTTATACTCTACTATCAGGGGAAGGAGGGGAGCGCAGGGGAGACATTTACAATCCACGTCCCTTTCTACTGAGCATTTCTTCTCACAAGAAACTAACTCAAGGCTTCAGGGAAAGGGGTAAAACCAACAATTAGAAGAGTTTTCTTATCAAATGTCACAGAAAGATGAAGGTTGGTACCAACTGCTAGTTTCTACGACAAGTCTATCTATCTTCTCTATAGCCACCCATTAGGTAGTTGAAAACCACCTTTAAGAACCCTCCTCATCCTTCTCCTTTCAAGGTAAGGAAGCTGAACTCCATTCCCTTAGCCCCCCTAACCACGTTGTCAGCACTCCACTGGACTCTCCAGTCTGTCAATGTCGTCTTTTTCATACCAAGGGTCCCGCAACGGGGCACAGTACTTTGCACGTGGCACCAAGTGCCAAAGATGAGGGGAATAACGGCCTCATCCACCTGCAGGCTATACTCTGAATGCAGCTCAATGCATTTTGACCTTCATCGCACATTGAGTGCCGAGTCCCGTTCAATTTGTTGTCCACCAGGACGCCAAGTCCTTTCCTGTAGCTGCTTTCTAGCCAGAAAGACAGACCCTCATCTGCTCTGTTGCACAGGATTACGGGGTTCCAGGACCCCAGAAATACAG